CTTCTTCCTGCCTCACAAGTAAGTAATCAGGAGTCATCTCTTTCGAAAGAGCTTCCTCATTCTGCCTCACCCATCGTACTGTCTCGTGCTCCAAAGGGGAGGCGTTCGGCACGCCATTTCACACTAGAGGCGACTCCAAAGAGAGCGGCGCCCGCACTGGGCAAGCTTTCAAAGAGGAAGGCAAGCAAAGACACATCGGAGCCGTCATCAAAGACGCATGGCTTCGTAAATATGCCCTTTGGTAGTCACATCCAACTGTGACATTATCCGTTCGTGTCTTATCAGGAAGAGCATTCACCGAACTATGTCCGAGAGTCATGCCAGTCACACTCCAAACAGCCAGGTTCCAGACCCTGTCGTAACAACGAGGGCTGATATGGGAGTGCCACCGGATTGTCCTTTGGCGGAGGATTCGGATGACGTGTCCACCACAAAATCGGAAGTGGAGAGGGCATGAACCATCGGCGCCGGAGGGCCACTCTTCGCGACCTCGGCTTTACAATAGAGGCATTCAATGCCTCCAACTCAGGTGATGCGTACATCCGAGCTGCTCGAGATGGGCTTGCCAGAGCCACAGACCAATATTTGAGAGATACGCGGGTGAGCTCACATTATATACCAGTAGCCCCCGAGACTTGAATCATTTGATTTAGCTGATTTAAGGATCATTGTAAAACTAGGTTCTTGTAGAGAAGAACAACATGTTGTCTCAAGAGCTAGAAAAGTGTCGGACCCTGCTAGCTTCTGCGATGGCCGAACTGGAGAAATCCAAGAAGGCATTGCCTGGTAATGTGTCCCTCCATCGAGAAAAATCGAATTATATACCATCAATGCTAACACAGTTGCATATCTTATGACAGGATCTCAGATCCTCTGGGAGAGGCACCGGAAGTCGCACGAGCAGGTGAAGAAGAAGCCAAAAGGCAACTAGCCGCGGGCGAATGTATACTGACACGGGTCAGGGAGGAGAAAAAGAAACTCCAGGATTCGAACACCCACCTGGGCGAAGAACTAAAAGATGTGCGGGCCCAGCTGGCTGACTCTGTGAAGGAAAATAAGAGGCTGCAAGGCGGCATATTTAGTATGTGTTCAAACTTACCTCTGCGTAATTTGGCGAGGAAAGGAACTGACAGAGTTATGTCTGTAGGTATGCTGACTGGCCGTCCCGAAGAGGAGATGTCTGGATCTTCGGGCGATCTGCTACAAGAGCTGTCACAAATGCACAGCCGAGCTCGGCAGGCGATGCAAAGTGTCGCCAAGGCCTTATGGCCATCCGCCTCCCCTCTAGGAAGTATGGAGGATCTTGTACAGCTATTGAAGGGAGCGCGACGGCGTTTCCGATTGTGGAAGATACCGTCCTGCTAGGAAGGTGCGCAAGAGGCCTGGGCCATGGTGAAAACACAGTACACCAAGCTTGATCCGAATCATATGGCCCGGGTCGGGCCTAAAGGGTCAGATGGAAAATAAATTCCAGTTAGTTTGGTGTATGACCAGGTAAAGATAGCCGCCAAGTATTCCCAACAGGATTGTAAGCTAGATAGCCTGTTAGATGGCATAGAGGAAGAAATTTTTGAGTCCAAGTGACTATGTACTTCAATTGACAAATTTTTACCTAGCCAGATTGTAAAACGATTATCATGGCGGACCTTTTCGCTTCGACCTCTGGGCCTGAAGGTGCGGGGTGTTTCCGAATACCCGCTCGGTAATATAGACCGGGGTACATGTGGAAATTGGGCGTAGGGGTCATAGTTGCTTGAACAGACAAGTTTTATCCGGCTAGCTATGTTATATTACATTGTAATTGTAAGAAACATCTTCCAGAGAGAATAGTTCCGTTAAGGGTTCCTTTCCCTGGGTGAGCATGCATTAATGTGCATGCCTGAACTATGATTGAAAAATCGCAGCATACGTAACATCTGGGGGTTCATAGTGTAATGAGCAAAAAACATCTTTAGTCCATCGACCGAATATTCCCTTAAGAATGCTAGCTTTTGGCTTCACCCAGTCTGAGGTACACATCCGGATGACCCCACAGTAACAATGGCAGAGTTGCTCCCTGATACGTCTCCAACGTATCTATAATTTATGAAGCATTCATGCTATTTTATTATCTACTTTGAATGATTACGGGCTTTATTATACACTTTTATATTACTTTTGGGACTAACCTATTAACCGGAGGCCCAGCCCATATTGTTGTTTTATTACCTATTTCAGTATTTCGAAGGAAAGGAATATCAAACGGAGTCCAAACGGAATGAAACCTTCGGGAGCGTGATTTTTGGAACGAACATGATCCAGGAGACTTGGAGTGCAAGCCAGGGAAGCATCGAGGAAGCCACGAGATAGGGGGGGCGCCCACCCCCCCGGGCACGCCCTCCACCCTCGTGGGCCCCTCAAGGCTCCCCCGACCAACTTCTTTCGCCTATATATTCCCTTATACCCTAAAACCATCGAAACGGAAGATAGATCGGGAGTTCCGCCGCCGCAAGCCTCTGTAGCCACCAAAAACCTCTCGGGGGCCTATTCCGGCACCCTGTCGGAGGGGGATCCCTCACCGGTGGCCATCTTCATCATCCCGGCGCTCTCCATGACGAGGAGGGAGTAGTTCACCCTCGGGGCTGAGGCTATGTACCAGTAGCTATGTGTTTGATCTCTCTCTCTCTCTCGTGTTCTCTCTATGGCACGATCTTGATGTATTGCGAGCTTTGCTATTATAGTTGGATCTTATGATGTTTCTCCCCCTCTACTCTCTTGTAATGGATTGAGTTTTCCCTTTGAAGTTATCTTATCGTATTGAGTCTTAAGGATTTGAGAACACTTGATGTATGTCTTGCCCGTGCTTATTTGTGGTGACAATGGGATATCACGTGATCCACATGATGTATGTTTTGGTGATCAACTTGCGGGTTCCGCCCATGAACCTATGCATAGGGGTTGGCACACGTTTTCGTCTTGACTCTCCGGTAGAAACTTTGGGGCACTCTTTGAAGTATTTTGTGTTGGTTGAATAGATGAATCTGAGATTGTGTGATGCACATCGTATAATCATGCCCACAGATACTTGAGGTGACAATGGAGTATCTAGGTGACATTAGGGTTTTGGTTGATTTGTGTCTTAAGGTGTTATTCTAGTATGAACTCTATGATAGATTGAACGGAAAGAATAGCTTCATGTTATTTTACTACGGACACTTGAATAGATAGAACAGAAAGGATAACTTTGAGGTGGTTTCGTACCCTACCATAATCTCTTTGTTTGTTCTCCGCTATTAGTGGCTTTGGAGTGACTCTTTTTTACATGTTGAGGGATAGTTATATGGTCCAATTATGTTATTATTGTTGAGAGAATTTGCACTAGTGAAAGTATGAACCCTATGCCTTGTTTCCTACCATTGCAATACCGTTTACGCTCACTTTTATCGCTTGCTACCTTGCTATTTTTGTAATTTCATATTACAAATACCTTTATCTACTATCCATATTGCACTTGTATCACCATCTCTTCGCTGAACTAGTGCACCTATGCAATTTACCATTGTATTAGGTGTGTTGGGGACACAAGAGACTCTTTGCTATTTGGTTGCAGGGTTGTTTGAGAGAGAACATCTTCATCCTACGCCTCCCACGAATTGATAAACCTTAGGTCATCCACTTGAGGGAAATTTGCTACTGTCCTACAAACCTGTGCACTTGCAGGCCCAACAACGTCTACAAGAAGAAGGTTGTGTAGTAGGCATCACTGCATTTATGCCCTAGCCGAACTAACTGGAACATAGGGCATAAGCACAGGAGCCAGGCAACGCAACTTGGCCAAAACTTAAGTCATATCGATGCATATAATGGCGAAGAAAAGGTACATACGAGGAAAGGGCACATATGTGGTGAGCTTAATGCTCGGAAATAATAATAATAAGCTTCTGTATGAGAAGCCCCCAGGTATGATGAACGTACATATTTGAGGATGTGTACGTCTTAGGTGCACGTTTTAGTCGTACGAAAGCTTTAAGGCTAAAAAAGAGAAAAATGAGAAAGCGAAAAGAGAGGGAAAACATAATGGAAACAGAAGGGACAAGGAGACGAACAAAGAGTTCGGCGCTAGGCATAGAATCTTCGGAGTCTGGCCGCGTTCCATGGGTTTGGCTCTAGGCGATTGTCTGATGCATCACGCAGGCGGTACGCTCCTCCAGTGAGAACTTCATCAATGATTGGGCGACCTCGATTCTCTAGAAGAAATGGAAATCGATGATTGCCCCAACCTTAAATCTTTGCCTGAGAGCATGAAGAACGTCACTGCTCTTAGAAAACTGAAGTTGAATGAGTGCAAAGGCCTGGAAACATTACTAGAATCGTTGGGACAGTTGACTTCTCTAGCAGGAATTTTAATCCACGACTACCCCAACCTGACATCTTTGCCTGAAAACATGAAGAGCCTTACTGCCCTTAGAAAACTAAAGTTGAATGAGTGCAAAGGCCTGGAAACATTACCAGAATCGTTGGGACAGTTGACTTCTCTAGCAGAAATTTCAATCCATGACTGCCCCAACTTGACATCTTTGCCTGAAAACATGAAGAACCTCACCTCTGTTAGAAAACTGGAGTTGGTAAAGTGCAAAGGCATGAACACATTACCGAGATCATTGGGACAGTTGACTTCTCTAGAAGAAATTTTAATCTTTGATTGCCCCAACCTGACATCTTTGCCTGAAAGCATGAAGAACCTCAGCGCTCTCAGAAATTTGACTTTGATAAAGTGCAAAGGCCTGTAAACATTACCAGGATCGTTGGGACAATTGACTTCTCTAGAAGAACTTCTAATCGGTGATTGCCAGAAACTAACATCTTTGCCTGAAAGCATCAATAACCTCATTGCTCTTAAAATACTGAAGTTAACAGAGTGCCAAGGCCTGAAGATATTACCGGAATGGTTGGGTGAGTTGACTTCCCTAGAAGAAATTTTAATCAACCATTACCCCAACATGACATCTTTGCCTGAAAGCATGAAGAACCTCGCCGCTCTTAAAAGTCTCACATTGCTAGTGTGCAATGGCCTGGAGATATTACCAGAATGGTTGGGACAGTTGAATTCTCTAGAAGAAATTTTACTTGGCGATTGCAACAACCTGACTTATTTGCCTGAAAGCATGAAGAACCTCACTGCTCTTAAAAAGCTAAGCTTGGTAAAGTGCAAAGTGATACGTCTCTGTCGTATCTATAATTTTTGATTGTTCCATGCCAATATTATTCAACTTTCATATACTTTTGGCAACTTTTTATATTATTTTTTTGACTAAATTATTGATCCAGTGCCCAGTGCCAGTTCCTGCTTGTTGCATGTTTTATGTTTCGTAGAAACCCCATATCAAACGGAGTCCAAACGGGATAAAAACGGACGGAGAATATTTTTGGAATATTTGTGATTTTCTGGAAGAAGAATCAAAGCGAGACAGTGCCCGAGGGGGCCACGAGGCAGGAGGGCGCGCCCCTGACTCTCGTGGGCACCTCGTAAGGCGGTTACTGCTCTTATTTGGCCGCAAGAAGCTAATTTTCAGAGAAAAATCTGGGCAAAGGTTTCAATCCAATCGGAGTTACGGATATCCGGATATATAAGAAACGGTGAAAGGGCATAATCTGGAAACGCGTAAACACAGAGAGACAGAGAGACAGATCCAATCTCGGGGGGGGCTCTCCCCCCTCCCATGCCATGGAGACCATGGACCAGAGGGGAAACCCTTCTCCCATCTAGGGAGAAGGTCAAGGAAGAAGAAAAAGTAGAAGGGGGACTCTCTCCCCCTTGCTTCCGGTGGCGCCGAAACGCCGCCGGGGGCCATCATCATCACTGCGATCTACACCAACACCGCCATCATCTTCACTAACATCTCCATCACCTTCCCCCATTTATATTCATAGCTCCACTCTCCCGCAACCTGCTGAACCCTCTACTTGAACATGGTGCTTTATGCTTCATATTATTATCCAATGATGTGTTGCCATCCTATGATGTCTGAGTAGATTTTCGTTGTCCTACCGGTGATTGATGAATTGCTATGATTGGTTTAATTTGCTTGTGGTTATGTTGCTGTCCTATGGTGCTCTCCGTGTCGCGCAAGCATGAGAGATTCCCGCTGTAGGGTGTTGCAATACGTTCATGATCCGCTTATAGTGGGTTGCTTGAGTGACAGAAGCATAAACCCGAGTAAGGGGGTGTGGCGTATGGGATAAAGGGGACTTGATGCTTTAATGCTATGGTTGGGTTTTACCTTAATGATCTTTAGTAGTTGCGGATGCTTGCTAGAGTTCCAATCATAAGTGCATATGATCCAAGAAGAGAAAGTATGTTAGCTTATGCCTCTCCCACATAAAACTTGCTATCGGTCTAGTAAAGTAGTCAATTGCTTAGGGACAATTTCACAACTCCTACCACCACTTATCCACACTCGCTATACTAACTTTATTGCTTCTTTATCTAAACAGACCCTAGCTTTTATTTACTTGCTCTTTATTATCTTGCAAACTTATCCAACAACACCTACAAAGTACTTCTAGTTTCATACTTGTTCTAGGTAAAGCGAACGTCAAGCGTGCGTAGAGTTGTATCGGTGGTCGATAGAACTTGAGGGAATATTTGTTCTACCTTTAGCTCCTTGTTGGGTTTGACACTCTTACTTATCGAAAGAGGCTACAATTGATCCCCTATACTTGTGGGTTATCAAGACCTTTTTCTGGCGCCGTTGCCGGGGAGTCTTAGCATGGGGGGAATATTCTCGTGTGTGCTTGTTTGCTAATCACTTAGTAGATTTTATTTTCTATTCTAAGTTGTTCTCTATCTTTAGTTATGGATATGGAACATGAAATACCAAAAAAATTAGGTGTACTTGCTACTCATGGAGATGGGGAACCTCCGAAACCCTCGATGCTGGTTATGTGAATAATATTATGTACTACTTTGATAATCCTGAGAAAACCCCATTCAATTATGTTATGGGAGACATGTTGGATCAACGTGAATACTTTAGGGATTATCGCTTGACTCAAAAAGGGAAACTATTATGGGATCAAATTCATATGTTTCATTGGTATGCTCGGGAACTATGCTTGAGATATGATTATACTTGTTGCTCTAGGATGAAGGCTCCACACCTTCCCTTTTCATGCAAATTCAATGATGATAAAACCTTGGCTTCTTATGCTAATGGTATATATGATTACTATGATGTGGAACAAATAGAAAAATTCAGTGCTTTTATGGGTGCTTATGAAATTGAATCTTTGTTTAATGAGTGTGAAAATCTTGATGGTGTTGTTTACAGACCTGAAAATTTTGATATACTTAAATATTGTTATGAGAATTATGAATACAATTCCGATATTGATGTGTTTATTGAGAAAGTCTCCGCTGTCCAAGAAGAGACTAATATTTTGCAGGAGTCTATGGAAGAAGAAAATGATGAAACTGTGAGCTCGTTGGATGAAAAAGATGATGAGGAGAGCGAAGAACAAAAGGAGGAAGAGCGGATTAGCTACCCGTGCCCACCTTCTAATGAGAGTAACTCTTCAACTCATACATTGTTTAATTTCCCTTCGTGCTTAACGAAGGATGATTGCTATCATGATTGTTATGATCCCGTTGATTCTCTTGAAATACCCCTTTTTGATGATGCGGTCCTCCCCTGCTCAGGCGGTGATGGCCGGCGGCGGTGCGCCTCGGCCGGTGGCGGTCCAGCATTCTGGTGTGGAGGCCGGCGGTGCTCGCCGTGGTGGTGCCGCCTCTTGGCGGCGGGGTGGTACGGTGGTGCTGGCCGGCCGGGGGCGTGTCCCCGGCCCAGATCTAGGCCCGTAGGGTCACTTCTGGGTCCTTGCGGGTCGGCTCCGGCGCGACCGCGACGCTCTCTATATGGGGAGGCAGGGGAGTGGCTTGGACTGGGACAGTGACGCCGACGGTGTACCAGCTGCTGCGCAGAGGCGGAAGCTGTCCGGGCCTTTGAGGGCCCGACCGGGCCTGTGGGGCCACGGGCCCGGTAGGCTCCTGCCATGGCGTCCGGTCGGCTACCATCATGGACGGTGGAGGTGGGGGCCTCCCGTATGCCGACGGTGTTGTTGCCCTAGTCCCGGCTCCTCTTCTCTGTTGTGCAGACCATCTTCGCGGTGTCGTGCTGAGACAGCGTGGGAAGCTTCGTGTCCGTGTTGGCGCAGGGTGGTGGTCGGTCTGGTGGGGAGCTCCGGAGTGCCTGAGGTAGAGGCTGGGATCGGGAGAAATCTCTGTTGGCATGGCCGACACCGACACGGTGGCGCCTGAGGGTGCCGCCGGACCTTCCTGAAGGGCGTTGGGGCTATCCTTCCTCTCTCCTCACTGTGTACCGGGGGAAACCCTTGGCAGCAGCATCGTCATTGTCGCGTCCCTTCTTGGAGGTGTTGTTGGGTACCGGCACTTCAGAGTCTCGGAGCTTGGTGGGCGATCTCCGGTGGACGCAGTGGTCACGAGGCTTCATCGTTTTTGTCTATCCGCCATTATCGGCATTTGTTTCTTCTCTTTTTTTCTCTTTCCTTTCTTCTGGGCGTGTTTGTGTTGCTTCCGCAACAGCCCTATCGTCGGATGTATCGGTTGGTTGCTTTGTAATACAAAGCGGGGGGAAACCCTTTTTCTTATTATGCTTGTGGCCATGATGCCAATACGAATGATGCTTATGGAGATGAACTTGCTATAGTTCCTTATGTTAAACATGAAATTGTTGCTATTGCACCCACGCATGATAGTCCTATTGAAGATTACGAAGCGCTTTGAATTTGAATAAGACCATGCTCCTTCTTTTTCATAAAATGGGTGGTTTGGTTGTTGATCCATTAATCAAATAAATTAGGTCGTAAGATCGAATCAAGAATTTCATTATATCCATTTCTTATACCTTCTATTTTATATGATATTTCATAATAATAAACCATAGGGATAGGGTCTATAATTATCTTTTTGAATTCTCCCGACTACACTATATCGGAGAAGTTTGTGCTTATTAAGGATTATATTGATGGGTTGTGTTTTACTACTACACATGATGATCTTGATAGATATAATATGCATGGGCTTGCTACTCCTACTTGCAATTACTATGAGAGAGGAACTATATCTCCACCTCTCTATGTTTCCCATACGATGAAATTGCAAGAAACTGCTTATACTATGCATTGGCCTTTACTATGTGTGCATGAATTGTTCTTTTATGACATGCCGATGCATAGGAAGAGAGTTAGACTTCATTGTTGCTTGATATATGTTACTTTGTGCTCACTACTAAATTACAAATCATTGTTAATTAAATATGGCTTTGATATACCGTGGGATCCGGGTGGATCCATTACTTGAGCACTATATGCCTAGCTTAATGGCTTTAAAGAAAGCGCTGCTAGGGAGACAACCCGTAAGTTGTAGAGAGTCATTTATTTATATTTTGTGCTTTCATATAGTCTAAAAACAAAAAAAAATAAAGAGGGGAACCCAATAACTTTTCAAAAAGGAAAGTGAAAGTGAGAAAGACAAGCATTGTTGAAGTGGGGGAGCTCCTTGAACTTTGTTCATGCTCACGGAAACTTTGTGAATCTTGATTACAGAAACTTTTCAACAAAAATAATTATCCCCTTGTACAATTCCATTGTATTATAAAAATAATGTGCCAAGATTTGCCTTTAGGATGTTTACCATGCTTGTTGGTTTGTACGGTGCAGGATGGAAACTTTGGCTGTAGTGCGTGATTTTATATTTTTTACTGGAACGTCAAACGGTTCTGAAATTTTTTTCACTGTCTTTATGTACAATTTTTTTTATTGTTCCTACTTTTTGCAGAATTTTTGTGTACCAGAAGTATGGTGAATGTTCAGATTGCTACAGACTGTTCTATTTTTGACAGATTCTGTTTTTGATGCGTAGATTACTTGTTTTGTGAAACTATCAATTCCTATCAGTGGATTAAGCCATGGAAAAGTTATATCACTGTAGCTACAGTGTAAAAACAAAATATGAATTGGTTTTCAATATTACTTAGAGTAGTGATTTGCTTTATTATAGTAACGGATCTTACCGAGTTTTCTGTTGAAGTTTTGTGTGGATGAAGTGTTTGATCGAGGAGGTCTCGATATGAGGAAAAGGAAGAGATACAAGAGCTCAAGCTTGGGGATGCCCAAGGCACCCGAAGTAAATATTCAAGGAGACTCAAGCGCCTAATCTTGGGGATTCCCCGGAAGGCATCCCCTCTTTCTTCAACAAATATCGGTTTGTTTTTGGATTCGTTTCGTTCATGCGATATGTGCAAGTCTTGGAGCGTCTTTTGCATTTAGTTTTCACTTTTCTTTTATGCACCATGCTGGTATGAGATAGTCCTTGGTTTATTTATAGAATACTCATTGCACTTCACTTAAATATTTTGAGTATGGCTTTATAGAATGATTCGTGTGCTTCACTTATATCATTTGAAGTTTGGATTGCCTGTTTCTCTTCACATAGAAAACCGCCATTTGTAGAATGCTCTTTAGCTTCACTTATATTTGTTAGAGCGCGGGCATAGCTTTTGTAGAAAGAATTAAACTCTCTTGCTTCACTTATATCTATTTAGAGAGATGACGGGAATTGGTCATTCACATGGTTAGTCATAAAATCCTACATAAAACTTGTGGATCACTGAATATGATATGTTTGATTCCTTGCAATAGTTTTGCGATATAGAGATGATAATATGTGGGAGGTACTAGTAGATGGTTGTGTTTAGTAAGGATATTGGTGTTAAGGTTTGTGATTCCCAAAGCATGCACGTATGATCTCCTAACTATGTAACCAAATTGGCGCGCATTGTATTTCGATTGTTTATCTTTGCGTGAAGGTCGGGGGCGCGCGATGGTTATCTCCTACCAACCTCCCCCCTAGGAGCATGCGTAGTAGTACTTTGCTTCGAGGGCTAGTGAACTTTTGCAATAAGTATATGAGTTCTTTATGACTAATGTGAGTCCATGGATTATACGCACTCTCACCCTTCCATCATTGCTAGCCTCTTCGGTACTATGCATTGCCCTTTCTCACCTTGAGAGTTGGTGCAAACTTCGCTGGTGCATCCAAACCCCGTGATACGGTACGCTCTATCACACATAAACATCCTTATATCTTCCTCAAAACAGCCACCATACCTACCTATCATGGCATTTCCATAGCCATTCTGAGATATATTGCCATGCAACTTCCATCATCATCATATATACATGACTTGAGCATTCATTGCCATATTGCCTTGCATGATCGTAAGATAGCTAGCATGATATTTTCATGGCTTGTCCATTTTTTTGATATCTTTGCTATGCTAGATCATTGTACATCCCGGTACACCTCCGGAGGCATTCATATAGAGTCATATCTTTGTTCTAGTATCAAGTTGTAATATTGAGTTGTAAGTAAATAAAGTGTGATGATCATCACTATAGAGCATTGCGCCATTCAAAAAAAGAGGCCAAAGAAGCCTAAATAAAAAAGGGGGGACAAAGAAGCCCGCCCAAAAAAGAAAAAAAAGGTGCAATGTTACTATCCTTTTACCACACTTGTGCTTCAAAGTAGCACCATGTTCTTCATATAGAGAGTCACTTGTGTTATCACTTTCATATACTAGTGGGAATTCTCATTATAGAACTTGGCTTGTATATTCCAACGATGGGCTTCCTCAAATGCCCTAGGTCTTCATGAGCAAGCAAGTTGGATGCACACCCACTTAGTTTCAGTTTGAGATTTCATACACTTATAGCTCGTAGTGCATCCGTTGCATGGCAATCCCTACTCCTCACATTGACATCAATTGATGGGCATCTCCATAGCCCGTTGATTAGCTGCGTAGATGTGAGACTTTCTCCCTTTTTGTCTTCTCCACACAACCTCCACCATCATACTCTATTCCACCTATAGTGCTATATCCATGGCTTGCGCTCATGTATTGCGTGAAGGTTGAAAAAGCTAAAGCGCGTTCAAAAGTATGAACCAATTGCTTGGCTGACACCGAGATGAGCATGAGGGGTACCTTGTGTTAAGAAAAGGGAGCATAAGAGACTATATGATTTTGTAGGGATAACGTTCTGAAGCATTGATATTTTGAAAGCCACGATTGTTTGTTGGGATGCCCTAAGTATTACTGTTTTTATGTCAAATGATAGACTATTGCCTTGAATCACTCGTGTCTTAAAATTCATGCCATGATTAGATATATGATCAAGATTATGCTAGGTAGCATTCCACATCAAAACTTATCTTTTTATCATTTACCTACTCGAGGACGAGTAGGAATTAAGCTTGGGGATGCTGATACGTCTCTGTCGGATCCATAATATTTGATTGTTCCATGCCAATATTATTCAACTTTCATATACTTTTGGCAACTTTTTATATTATTTTGGGACTAACTTATTGATCTAGTGCCCAGTGCCAGTTCCTGTTTGTTGCATGTTTTATGTTTCACATAAACCCCATATCGAACGGAGTCCAAATGGGATAAAAACAGACGGACAATAATTTTGGAATATTTGTGATTTTCTGGAAGAAGAATTAACGCGAGACTGTGCCCGAGGGGGCCGCGAGGCAGGGGCGCGCCCCTGACCCTCGTGGGCACCCTGTAAGGCGGACACTGCTCTTCTTTGGCCACAAGAAAGCTAATTTTCGGAGAAAAATCTAGGCGAAGGTTTCAATCCAACCGGAGTTACGGATCTCCGGATATATAAGAAACGGTGAAAGGGCAGAATCTGGAAACGCAGAAACAGAGAGAGACAGAGAGACAGATCCGATCTCGGAGGGGCCCTCGCCCCTCCCATGCCATGGAGACCATGGACCAGAGAAGAAACCATTCTCCCATCTAGGGAGAAGGTCAAGGAAGAAGAAGAAGAAGAAGAAGGGGGCTCTCTCCCCCTTGCTTCCGGTGGCGCCGGAACACCGCCGGGGGCCATCATCATCACCGCGATCTACACCAACACTGCCATCGTCTTCACCAACATCTCCATCACCTTCCCCCATCTATATTCAGCGGTCCACTCTCCCGCAACCCACTGTACCCTCTACTTGAACTTGGTGCTTTATGCTTCATATTATTATCCAATGATGTGTTGCCATCCTATGATGTCTGAGTAGATTTTCGTTGTCCTACCGGTGATTGATGAATTGCTATGATTGGTTTAATTTTCTTGTGGTTATGTTGCTGTCCTATGGTGCTCTTCGTGTCGTGCAAGCGTGAGGGATTCCCGCTGTAGGGTGTTGCAATATGTTCATGATCCGCTTATAGTGGGTTGCTTGAATGATAAAAGCATAAACCCGAGTAAGGGGGTTGTGGCGTATGCAATAAAGGGGACTTGATGCTTTAATGCTATGGTTGGGTTTTACCTTAATGATCTTTAGTAGTTGCGGATGCTTGCTAGAGTTCGAATCATAAGTGCATATGATCCAAGAAGAGAAAGTATGTTAGCTTATGCCTCTCCCACATAAAACTTGCTATCGGTCTAGTAAAGTAGTCAATTGCTTAGGGACAATTTCACAACTCCTACCACCACTTCTCCACACTCGCTATACTAACTGTATTACTTCGTTATCTAAACAGCCCCTATCTTTTATGTACTTGCTCTTTATTATCTTGCAAACCTATCCAACAACACCTACAAAGTACTTCTAGTTTCATACTTGTTCTAGGTAAAGCGAACGTCAAGCGTGCGTAGAGTTGTATCAGTGGTCGATAGAACTTGAGGGAATATTTGTTCTACCTTTAGCTCCTCGTTGGGTTCGACACTCTTACTTATCGAAAGAGGCTACAATTGATTCCCTATACTTGTGGGTTATCATAAAGGCCTGGAAACATTACCGGCATCATTGGGACAATTGACTTCTGTAGAAGAAATTTCAATTGGCAGTTGCGCCAATCTGACATCTTTGCCTGAAAGCATGAACCTCGCCGCTGTTAGAAAATTGATGTTGATAGAGTGCAAAGGTCTGGTAACATTACCGGGATTGTTGGGACAGTTGACTTCTCTAGAAGAAATTTTAATTGGCGACTGCCTCAACCTGATATCCTTTCCTGAAAGCATGAAGAACCTCACCGCTCTTAAAAAATTGATGTTGACCAAATGCAAAGGCCTTGAAACATTACCGGGGTCGTTGGGGTAGTCGACTTCTTTAGAAGAAATTGTGGTCACCAAGTGCCCCAACCTGACACCATTTCCTGAAAGCATGAAGAACCTCACCACTCTTACAAAATTGAGGTTTGAAGAGTGCAAAGGCCTTGAAACATTACCGGGATGGTTGGGACAGTTGACTTCTCTAGAAGAAATTATACTCAGTGATTACCCCAACCCGACATCTTTGCCTGAAAGCATGAAGAACCTTACCGCTCTTAGAAGACTTTGGTTGAAAAATTGCAAAGGCATGGAAACATTACTGGGATGGTCGGGACAGTTGACTTCTCTAGAGCAACTTATCACCTGCGATTGCCCCAACCTGACATGTTTGCCTGAAAGCATACGGAGTCTCTCTGCTTTGAAGCTACTCAAAATTGTTTGGTGTCCAAGGCTAATTGTGAGGTTCCATAGGGAGGATGCCTACAAGATTCGTCACATCCCCACAGTCGAATTCTGGTGATCAAGGAGTTAAAACTGTGAAGCAACCATTGTACAAAGTTGTTGGTCTCTTATGAAGAGCTTGTTTTCTGAGGTCATCGTTGATTTGTCGCCTAGCCACCTGTCCCATCTTTTGCTCCCGGTGAATACTTATATGGTGCTCTACTACTGCATACCAACAAGTGTTGGAGGTTGTCATGTTGGTGCCAGGTGCTGTAGAGGAAGTAAGCGGTCCGGAGGCTTCTTTTTCAAGTGTTGTAAGCATTTATACCATGCATGAGCACTTTGTCCCCTTCTGTTTTCTTATACATGTAGTCTTACTTGTAGCTAATCTTGTCAACTTTTAGAAATCAAACTTGCATCGAAGAACTAACTATGAATTACTGAGTACAACTTCCTATTCATTCTCTTCTTTGTTCCTACTACTTAACTTGGAAAAATATTTGCTACTGTGCCCAAATGGATTATACCATGCATTAGCTCATTTTCTTTCTTTCTGTATAGTTTTTCAAGGGCAAAAACATATACAGTTGTAGCTAATCTTGTCAACTTTTAGAAACAGAACCTGCACCCAAGAAATAATTAAAGGGACTTGCCTTTCATTGTTGGCTGCACAACATACTCGGAATGTAGTTTCTTATTGGTTCTCTTCTCTCTCGTTTTTTCTGATAACTTACTGGTTCTCTTCTCTGTTTTTTCCACTTACATAACTACAAGTTGACATCCGCATGACTGCTATTGGTCAATCATGCGCGCAGGGTTTACATTGCTGTTCCATACTTGCCGAATCTCACACAAGATCAATTTCACAATGCAAAAGATGAGGCAAAGCTCAATTCCAGGGAGCAGTTACTTTCGGACCAAGAGCTCTCAAGTAGCTGACTGACTAATGTTGTTCTACTCTAGAGTACTTGTCCATGATTACTGTTGTGATTCAGAAAGGGATTAAAAGGTCATGGTTCTTGTGCCCGAGGAGAGAGGAACCCCTGCTATATATTCCCCGTCGGCTCAAATCCTGTAAGATTGTTAATTTCAACTCAACCACTTTTTGGCAATGCTCCATTCATTCATGTATATAATTTATCTATCGTGTACTGTTTTTAATTTCTACTCTATAATTTTAATGTGTCTATTGTCTTCCAGATAGTGCACACCTTGGGCCTGCCCCTAGACAATACTAGGTACCGGGTGTGCTGCTTCAGGTGACTGGGATGGGCATGATGAATAATTGGGTGCCCAGGGAATGGAAGACAACAATAGTGCGCCATCTCATTTTGCCATGCTGGTGGACTGGGAGCAGCCATGTATGTAGAGGATATATACTTACTTACTCATCTTCTCTCGATGGTTCATGAGATATATTTACTTCCATGGACATGGAGCAGGCTGCAGGAGGAGGATACCTCTATTCGTGTGTTTGTTCCGCACGAGTGGAACATGGTGGAAGTTATGGATATCATGGCTGCAGCTGAGTAATTCCATCTCAACCCTGGACTCCCTCTGCTCTTTGGTCGGAGACGGCGAGGTGGAGGTCTGCAGCGACAACCCTGAACTCCTCGGCTCCTTCTCTGAGACCATTTAGCGGTCGCCCACCTCTCCATCTCTGCTCCTAGTGGTTACATACTAGGGCATGGTGTTCTGTGCTAGAGTTGGTCCCAGCTGCGGCAGAGGAGAGGAGGTAAGCGGCCTGGAGCCTTCTTTGTCTGAAAGAAGTAATTAAAGGGACATGCCTTTCATGGTTGGCTGCACAGCAGACTTGGAAAGACTGATTAGTAAAACTTCTTATTTGATTCTCTTCTCTGTTTCTACTGCTTACTTAGCTTGGAAAAGGAAATGTCATTTCAAGCATACAAATTTCATCGTGCCGTAACATCCAGCTGACATGTACATGGCTTGGTCGAGTGAATTGCAGAAAACCACCACATTTCAGCTTAGGTTTGCAGAAAACACTCTTCTACGTTTTTGCTGCAGAAAACACTGATTTTTTTTCTAATCTTTTGCAGAAAGCACCAAACCTCCTGTTCGGGCAGTTTAAGCACTATTATGACAGATGGGACCCTGTCTTGTAGACGTGGCTCACGGCCGCGAGCTGACGCCATCTAACGGTGCTACAGTGCCGGTCCGCCGATAGAAACCAGCTCGATCTAGATCTCTCCTCTGCCTCTCCCTCTCCCCTCATCACTCTGTTCTCCTCTCCTCACTCTGTTCTTGTCCCCCGACGCCGCCACAGCGCCGGCCGCCGTTCTGCTGCTACCCCATGGCCATGGTGTCGTGGAGTGATGAGACCAGTGAGGATTCAGTCATGAACATCTCCTCCTCCTGCGATGGCATCATCAAGGTCAGTTTGCTACAACTAGGGTTAGGGTTAGGTTTAGTGATTCGGGGATTTTGTGAATGAGCTCGAGTTGAACCTAGGTTTATCTTTGCTTGCTCCCACAACTTCCAGATATGATGCACGACCCGAATTTCAATGGCACTGACGCAGATGTGAATGTTTTGTGCGAACACGGCGAGCCGGCCGAGCGCTTAGTTGCATTTGAAGGGATGCACACTGGCAGGAGGTTTCTAGGATGTACTAAGAAGGTATGATCCTTAATAAAGGAAGGTGTTCATTGCTTAATGTTTTGTTTACGTAGTTGTTAAGCTTTGTTTAGTTTGGTATTTCTTTACCTTTATCTGACATGCCTTGTCATCAAATGGTACACATTGTTTATTGTGGTTAGTGATTACTGCTTTGTTTATCAAGTTGTTAAGCTTGGTTAAGTGCTTAGTCTTTGTTTAACTTGTTTTATCCAGTGAGTGGATGGTAGTCATTGTTTATTATGGTCAGTGCTTAATTACTTGTTTAACAGTGGTCATTGTTTATTTGTTTGTTGTGTGATATGTTTGATGCACATATTAGACCCCTGAACATGTTTGCTTATGGAGTATGGCACTTAACAGTGGTCTTCATCCTACTCACTTAGATGATTCTTTATTGTTTTATTGTTTATTTTACAGGAAGGCATAAACTGTGGAGTAGTTCAATGGATTGATTTTGAATGGCTAGACTCAATGGAGAAGGCATTGGCCAAGTTATGGGATATGTATGAGGAGAGTAAGCCAGGTAGAACCAATGACAATCTGGAGAGTTCCTTTGTAATTCACAACCTGACTGAAGAGAAGAAGAAACTACAGGAGAATTATGATAGTTTGTATGCTGATGTCAATGCTCTCTTGGATGCCCAGCAACAGAGGGGTCTGGAGTTGAGCAATCAAAAGGAGCAGAAGCAATGTCTTGATGTGAAGATTGCAGAGCTAGAAACTGTAGTGGGCAACTTGAAGGCAGAGCTGGCAAAGAAAGAGGAGGAGAAGAAGAAAGTACGGGAGGACTATGACAGTTTGTAGCTGATGTGAATGCTCTCTTGGATGCCCAGCAGGAGAAGGATGTGGAGTTAAACAATCAGAAGGAGCAGAAGGAATATGTTGATGTGAAGATTGCTGAGCTAGAAACTGTAGTGGGCAACTTGAAGGCAGAGCTATCAAAGAAAGAGGAGGAGAAGAAGAAGCTGCTGCAAAAGTATGAGACTCTAGTGAACCTGACAGGTGCTCAAGCCAATGTGATTAGGAACTTGAAGTTCAATCATTTGAAGGAGAAGGAAAGGCTGACAGAAGAGAGGCTTAAATTGCAGCATCACATTTCTGAGCTTCAAAAGTCTGAGGAGAAGATAAAGCAGAAGCTTCAGGGGGTGAAGGCCATCTTAGATGAGTAGGGGTGTCTTCTAGTATGATAATCATCTATCTGTATGTAGATGATAGTCTTCTATGCAAAACTTTAGTATGAACTTGGTCCTCAACTACTTTAACTATGTATTTTGTGATCCATGGTGTTGGATCCAACAGTGTTGTAATGTAGATGATAATCATCTATTTAGTACTTTAGTTTGAATTTGTGAACCCGGTAATTAAGTATGTATGTTGTGATCCATTGTGTTGGATTCAACCTTGATGATCCTTTATGAATGTGAGTCAAATTTGATGTTATATGCTTTATGTGCTTAGTACAATTTGGTTTTATATGGTTTAGATGATTATCATCTATTCAGTATTTGAGTATGAATCTGTCAACCAAGTAATTTAACTTACTATTTTGTTATCAATGGTGTTGGATCCAATTTGACCACCATTTCATCGATTCATCGACAAAATGGCCCTAGGGGTACCTTGACCACCATTTCATCGATTCATCGACAAAATGGCCCTAGGGGTACCTTGACCCTCATTTCATCGATTCATCGACAAAATGGTCCTAGGGGTACCTTGACCACCATTTCATCGATTCATCAACAAAATGGGCCTAGGGGTATCTTCACCCTCATGTCATCG